GGTGGTTAACATTTATTTCTATAACATTTTTATTTATTGTAATTACTTATAAATTGAAGAGTAAGGAAGCGAATATTGTTTAAAAAGAATTCAATCCAATATTGTGGGTAAGTGGTACAAACCATTTCACACGTATAAAACCAATAACAATTCATGTAAGATCTGGTTTACGATAGCACATACTATACACGAGTTTCATCCGAACTGAGCCGACTACGACGCACGAAATCTCAATTCCCTTGTGCAACACGTTTAAATAACCGCAAAATACCTTATTATGCGCTTTCCATATAAGTTCCAGCCAATCTAGGCAGCATTACGCTACGAAACTCATGATTCTCCCTTTGATTTGGAATTCCATCGTCCTATCGTACATTTCTTTTGTAATCGCGCAGCTGCCAGAAATTAAACAACAAAGAGATCGCAACTTTTGTCGCGCTAAAACCGAATTTCTTTACGTTTTGTTCCTTTTAAAACGAGTGTCCTTTAAAGACATTCTTTGAAATGGAACGCTCTTTGTTCAATCCGGCATGCGTTCCCCTCTATTTCAATAGTAATGAAACATTAAAAATTATATTGTATAACTGTTGTAAATATATAAATTACTACCACCAATCTATCAGCTGTATTGTATCTTTTATTTATAATGTAATTACTGAGTTGACCATGACAACTAATTCATAAGCTCGTTACAACTTCAATCATTCACGACATGTGAATAAAATGTGCCTACCTCTAACCAAACAATGTCTACGCACATGTTTATGATTGAGAGATAAAAAGATCATACGTGGTCGTCTGTTCTAAATTTAAATTTTTGAATAGCGAATTAATGCACTGGCCACATCGTCGCTCTAATAAAAGACTGTTTCGGAGTTTATTTTAACACATTTTGCGCGTGTACATATAACGGCCGAGATGAAAAACATTCCCCTGCGTTTCATTATTTGTGTTATTTTTAGACTGCGCTCAACCTGCCGACTGGAACGAGTGTTTACTCTGTTGGCTTACTTACATACAATGGTGTTCACATTATTAATCCTTATTATCTGTACTCTAATAGAGGAGACGCTATAAACAGCCTCGAATAATTCTGAAACACACGGGAGTTCATTATATTCCCTTAGTCGCATACATAAATCTTTGCAACGTAGCAATTATTTATATAAAATGTTTCCCGCAGCTTAATTTTATACTTAACAAGAGAGAAACGCTAGAATAAGCTTCATATGGGATGATTTTCCAAAAGTGCTTGTTCATTTATCCTAAAGGACGTCTACTACACAGTAACAAAGTTCTAACATAACAAAAACTAGGTAATCATTGGCGACCATGGACCAATCATACCGGCTATGGAGGCGTGGCCAACTGGTTTCCCGACAATGATTGGCTATCTAGTTATTATTTTAAATTATAAATTTATGTTTCGAAATTCAAAATTCGCGCTATAACATATCAACTATCAATCCTCTTTTTAGCGTATATTCGAAAACTTATTTGTAATTTGATTCTCAATAATTTAATATAGTTTTTTCGGTATTGCAATTAGGACTTTTCTCTTTATAATGGCAGAATGGACAGATCGTGATCGCCTGACGATGTAATTAAAAAACGAAACACTAAGATACCTATATCGTAATACTAAAACGCATACGATACGTAACAATCTACTCGAATCAATTTGGACGGTTTTTTCGACGCCGCAATTAATGTTAAGTACTTTCTTTTAGATTTAAAAAAGGAATTTCAATGTTCACGACTCATTGAAGTCGAATATTCAAATCGTATTTTAAATTAATTAGGCAGATGCGCGATTGATCGCTGACACACTTCAAAGATGTTGAATGCGGCAAGTTTATGACTTTTGATAAATATTGTTTTCCTGTTGAATTAATATGCTTTTATATTCATATATTTAAATAGTCGGTAAGTACAGCTTGTGAGATCCGCCTAGGGCGCTTATGTAGGATGTGAGAATAATAATTATCACTACCTATTTACATAAGGAGACATCTTGTAATAGTAGTATTATGATAATTTATGACTATTTTTAGAAAAGTCCTATGTTAAAATTATATTAACTATGATATTGATATGTAGGTATAGATATATCTCTTTAGGCTACATATAAGTAGCATATCATTAGTTAGGTTTAACCATACACTACTGTAGTGTGTATATTAAACCATAGATTTACAAAAAACTAAAAAAAAAACAATAGTTTTATAAAGTAAATATTACATTCTTTAAAATATAATTAATAAATGAGCATTTTTTTCATCTAGTTGTCTATTTAGAGACAACGACAAATGCTCGTAAAGCTTAACGCCTATTAAAAAACGTTCTCGCTAAACAACATCAATCAGACAGTTATCGCGCCAAATCGCCCGAAGACATTATAAAACTCAACTTATTCGGTAGTCCCGTAAGTATTATTTAATTGTTACTTTGCGGTCGGCCTGAGGCAATCCACCGTCGTCGCTCGCATCTCATGTTTTTTTACGACCATTGACAATGTAGTTCGGTTTACTTCTTATTTTTACGGAAGCGTTTAATTATAAACATTTTCATAAAACAGTAAGCCACAATCTACGCTGCTATTAACTCTTTTTATACAAACAATACACGAAAAAAAGGGGATGTTTAGTGTGTCCGTACGTTTTTTGGTGCATTTTTTTGGTTCCGCTCCTACCTGACGTTCGGTAACCACGGTAATGTGTTAAGAGGAATATATAGTTGTTTCTTTCAAATCTATGCAGTTGGATAGAGAGGTGTGTTTTGCGCGTTTAGAATCAGAGGTGATCTTACCCCTATAGACGTGGCAGGAAGCCAGTCGAAATCTGGTGTATTTTTTACCGCATTTCTGTTTAAACGGGGATAAATTTTGACATTACAGACTTACCGTCTGCGTTACAGGAGATAAGACACCGTTCTGAATGGTGCATTGTGTATATACCTTTCTCTCGTCTCTAGACTTATGACAGGTTAACCAGATAAAACTCGTTTGGCGTGGGAACATTGAGTTATTTATAAAATCATTGCAGCTAAAATAAAAACGTATGCTGCATGACTTATATGTGAATATTGTCGAGTATATTTGCCATAAATATGAATTAAGATACATGTCGCAACAACTTATTTTTTTTAACAAATTAACCAAATGTTTTTTTTTCATGGATGATAATGGAATGGTGTACCCGCCAGTGTGGAATGACAGAATAAGCATGAAGTCAGATCTATTCAGCACCATTCCATTATCATGCATTAAAAAATTGTAATGTATACAGCTTTTATATTATTTTTATTATTATTACTAAGTTAATTATTGCTACTGGCACCGTCTGTCTGTTTGTGATATAAACGAATGTCCCTTATTAATAATACAGTCACGTGTATTTATTATGAGGGACATAGGTGACATTTATGTATAGACAATTTATTATGAGACAGTCAAACAATTAAATAATCAATTAGATCGAATGTGAACAGGAAACTGTATCTTTTTTTTGTACGTGCATGTACATGTAGTGACGGACGCACACACGTATTACATATTATATATACATATATATAGGTCTCCGGTAATGATTTGCCATGAACACCATAACTTAATACCTACCACTTCCTTCCGATGCCATATAAATAGCGGCTTAATTCTTCGAACTAACTCAAATATTATATCAAAACTAATTTACACTATGTAAAGTATGATTATTTATAAAAACCTTATACAATACCTTTAATTAATATGTTTTAGCCATTGAATTGTTTTGTCTTTTTCTTCCGAACTAAGTATTCTTAATTTGAGAGAATGTGACAAAACAAAAATATCTCAATAACTACTGGCCAGATCTTGATGAAATTGATTGAAATAACATACATAAGAATAAGTAGAATTCTCCTTTTTAGAAGGCGGATGAATATCCACTATTTTTTTTTTGTTTCTATAAATAAGCGGGTAAATATTCTGTGCTTGTATATCGCACAAGTACAGAAATATTTAAGTAAGGTGCTTATTATTCAAACTATTCTCGAGCGCATTCTCTTATGCATTGGCTTTCAAACTAGTTGACCCCCCATATATAATGCGACCAACTGCACATTCTTTCATTACAAGGGTTATACCACCCTAGAGGCGACTAGTTATTATTATTCACTGAACAACATTCACAACTTCAATATTAAACGCGTTTATTTTAATTAATGGTAATAAAAAGAGGACTTTTGTTATAGTAGATAAAGTTTAAAAAGAAAATCTTTCGCATCTCGGAAAAAACATTATCAATTACTAACATGAACAATTTTTTTATTTTCAATAAATGAAAAACCGCTATAGTAAAGCTTCGCTAAGTTGCTAGATTTTTCAATAAAATCATGTCGGTATAGACAAAACACTACCAAATTTTAATTAACCTACTTACAAAAATAAATATTGTTCTGGCCATGTAGCAGACGTGTGTTCGAAATTCAATTCAGGTTAGGGGTGTCACCGCGTGCAGTCACCCCATATGAGCTCACCACCCCATTTTTAAACGACCTACATAAACTGTCCAGTGAAACCGTTAATGTCTCAACGGGATCGATCGTATGGACAGTTGTGCAAATAGTTTGTTCGAGGATTACATCTTGAGGGTGTTGAAAGCATACACCCTGTCATGATATTGATAAATAAGCTTAAGCTGTGTTTATTTACCGTAGACATCGTACGAAATCGTCTGTGTAGAAACAGAGGTATAACCTCTGTTTCTACTGACAAGCTTGATTTATAAGCTTTAATTTTGAATGGCAGTGTAATTACAGGGTACGCAAACATAATACTTTATTAGTCTTCAGGAACACATGAGAGTATAACACGAACTTCACATGATAACGTTATATCAGTGCTATATATAGATGACAATTGCCACTTCCTATTAGATGAGCCTTCAGCTTGTTTACCATTCCAGTGACATAAAAAAGTTATACAATGTTTATACTGATAATATTTTATTTCTTTCCAGGTGCTGACGTCCGGATCATTCGAGCTTAGGATAAAAAGTTTTACGAACTCATTGGGTAGGTTAAGTAGTGGCCAGTGCTGTGATGGTTCCTCAAATAGTGATGCGCCATGTTTGGCGCCGTGCAGGACTAAATTCCGTGTGTGCCTCAAGATTTATCAAGCAAATATCGATACAACGTCACCGTGTACATTTGGTGACATTACAACACCAGTGTTGGGTGGAAACTCATTGGATGTTCCCAACCTCAACGTGGAAGGATTCAGTAATCCCATCGTGTTTCCCTTCGATTTTACGTGGCCGGTGAGTACAAAAACACTTCTACTACACTTGCGTAAACAAAACAACAGTTCATTAATTTTGTAGGCATAAAATCAATACATCGTAAAAGAAGCATTAAGTAGCAACCCTACATCAATAAATCAACGCTGTCAATGTTACCAACATTCAAATTCCAATAATCCACGCTGGGCAGTGTGAGGCATCCCATTCGTCGTAAATAATAGTAAAAAAGAAATTAAGGGAATCTATATTCAAATTTGACAGAAGCGATGACGATAAGAATACTTGATGGTTTAACGAGCGACCGTGTGGGACGATTACAGCGTTCAATGGTTCATTTTTAATTAATTATGAAGTCGCGTTGTGTACGGCCAGCCACATGTTATTAGAATACTATGGGCAACCTTCATTGTGGCTTCGTTCTCATCTTGGTCGACGATTAGAGCGCAGAGGTCGGTCCGGATCGTGATTCAATATTGTAATTACCTGTTATTTATTTACAGATAGCGCTTAAATCTATCTCGATTCCAAGGATAACGGACGCTTTAATTGGGCCTTAGTTACGGTTATTTCACTGGCGTGAATTGTCTATGGTTTACACAGCCTCGTGTGGACACTCGAGGTTTCGAGTACTATTTGTATTTTATTTAGCGGCCCTCTTCAAATGTCGTACCGTCTCGTAATGTTTGAACAAACAAACGCTCCTAAGCTCGACCGCTTGCACAAGCTCTGACCATCTGGAGAAAAACGTGACACTTAGTTACTAAACGATACAGCAGGTAGGACCCTAAACTGCCCTATTGACGAAATTTAAGTCTTTTCGGATCATAGACATGCGTCCGGTAACACAGTCACTATCATTTCAAATGAATTGGCACTAAATTGAAACTTCCTGCTTAAATTCACATGTAATTCTCTATTGCCTGACGGACATATGTTGACATGCGATCAATTGAGCGAAAGTGACGCGAAATAATCCTCTCTATCGAATTTCAAAAATGACAGTATAAGCTGACTGGTTTAGAACAGAATTCACGCCATATGCGATATATCTCTCTAGTAGATACGTATCTTCCAGATGGCTTTTCCCATATGTCACGAAGCAAATTTTGTTATCCCCATGATATGTGCCATACCAACTATTGTTTTATACCGTTATTATAATATTTACTTACTGATTCCTGGCATCATAGGTTGACTCGGAACTTTTTTCTCACAATGAGGTCATCGTCGGCGCGAGAAGTGCCTGTTTTACGAGGCATATCGCCCATAAGAATAAATACGTACCACGTAATGTATTATATGGGTGCACGTTCCGCGTACTGCGTTCGTGACTCGCTGAGCAGGTGAATGGAATTCTGCTTCACAACGACCAACAGCGTTCGGTATTCGAAATTGACATTTAATTTACTCATCGGCGAGTGTTGTCGCCGGCCAGCATCACAATATTTTGAAACATGACGCCCTCGGTCGACTCTCCCGTTCCGCAGCGGGCGCGGTTGTATTTCAATCCTGTTCAAGTAATTTAAAACGCAACTGCATCCGAACTCTTATCTGATCGAGAAATAAATCGGTGCTAGGCCACGCTCATACTAAGATTTGACCCAGCCGATAATAGGTCATGAGCATATTAATATTACTGACAACATCGAACAGTAAAATTACAAGTAAACCGGCGCGCGCGTTAACGACGCATAGAAACGATTTATCATACAGCATTTAAAGAAAGAGATGGCTCACTCCAAAAAGAAATCTCATTTGTATTCAACGGTTCGACTCGGCGGTGGGTTTTCATTTATTTTACTCTTAAACAATTTGTGTTTGTAAATCACATGTTTTATACTGTAAAGCATATCTTCGAGAAATCCGTTATATTGTCCGGATGTCAAACCGAGGACCGGATTGTGAGTGAAACTAAGCGTACGTATTTATTATGCCTTTTATTTATTAAACTAAAATGTTACTGCACCAGTCATAAAGTGAGGTTAATGGTATAGGGTAGTTAATTTGTGCCTGGTCTCGGGGGGTGTTGGCACCCCTGTATAGTATGAACGGGCCCATTCAGCAACACGAGGTCCCGAGACCGTTAAACGCCATCGTTTTAATGCGAAAAAAATACGTTACTGTACAATTATGCAATGTGTACTTTATAGAAACACCTGCTTTTCAGAGACGGCGCAAATGTCAAAGTGTGCTTCCGCGCAAGCATGGTGCCTAGCGTGCAGACTGGTCGACTGCGCGTAATCGCACTTTACCAGTATCTCGTTACTTGAACATAGCTCTGGCCGTGAACTATACTTTTTATGGGGACCTCTAAAGATCCGTATTGCGTGTTGGTTATGTTACTCATCGAACTCATTGTTGTATCTTATCTCATTAAAATGTCCATCTTCTATTGTTGCGTTCACCTATATAAATGTGGCTAGGTGAGCCTCGCGGATTCGTCCATAATCTAATTTGAAGGTAATGAGGGCACCAATCGGGCATTCTTACGTTTTTCTCGTCTTGCACTGGTCGTGGCGTGATGTTTAATACCCTACAATATTCTATTTTATATATTTTTTAGATTAACGTTTCTAGTCTTTATATATTTAATGCAGTGTTGCTACAACGATTAAATGCTAATAAATCCATAATCCATATATCATCAGTGCCATTGTACTTCAAATATTTCCTGAACTGGCGCTCCCGTTAACGAAATAAACCATTTCAGCAAGTCACTTTCCCACAAAGCATGGTCGGAAGGTCGGCCGACTACGGGCCCTATAAAAACACTTGCGGCCCTCACACAATCCTGTCTTTCATTTAGGGTTACAACAAAATATATTAGAAAACCGATAAATAATATGAAAATGATAACTCCGGATAAATCACACAGCATCATCTTGTCAAACATATTTGTGTGGGAACAAAAATATCTTTGACAACTGATAGAAATATATAAATGTGTTTTTGTAAATACATACGTAATATACATAGAAAATAAATCTGTTATGCATAGTTAAAACAGTATAGATTACTACTTTTTAGTATAAATACAGTGTCAATTTGATCTCCTATTCAAAGCAATTAAATTATCATTTACCAAGCTTAAACTTTATAATTATCAATATAAAACTCATTCACAATAATTTAGCATTTCTGGATGTTAAATACTTATATAAAATTTATGCATAAACGTTTCATTCTATTAAAATTGATATTAGTTTTATCGTCTCTTAATCTAACATCATTTAAAATGTAATTTAGTGTCAACCCTATATCCGGAAAGCATTATTTTCTTTTCTCGTATCTGGCAATAGCAAGAGTATATTATAATCCAGTTTTTATTTTGTTACCGTGAGACTACTACAAAAACAAACGCGTTCCAACTTAATTAAGGTTAATTAAATAACCAAAGACACCTACCTAGTTGTTTTCGTATTTGTATATTTATTTATTATTGTGTTCTCAGTGAGCAACAGACCGAAGAATATTCACTAAAAAGCGAATGGTTCCAAGCCCAAAATGTATTAAATTCACGTTGTACTTGTCTTGAGAAAATTTTGCTCATTGTAAATGTACTTCAGGAATTAATTAATCCCATTCAAACATACCTTGAGCACAATAAAATATACTTTCGCGGCTGTTATCCCAGATGGGATAATCAGAGGCATTGTCAACTGCCAACTTCATTGTGAAGAAACACTTGATGTCTACACTTTGCTGTGTAGATATATTTGATTCCAATACAGCAGGAAGTGAGTCTATATACTGCCGTCTCTAATTAAATTTGGTTTGTTATCAGTATTTTTGTCGGGTATTTCACGCTTACTTGCTTAACTACGGCCCTGTATGAGTTATTGAAAGGGCAGTAAAGCTCTTTGACCGTCTGATTAATGTATTTGTGTCATTTAGCAAAGAAACATACATCTTTATTGTGGAACAAGTAGACTAAGCAACAGCGTAACTAATTCGAGAGATTGTTACTTATTTTGCATGTTTCGTAAATAGTTTCACGCTCTAAATAGTGGCATTTGTATGAAAGTATGGAGTCGCCTTGGTTAGCCTAACCACATGTGGACAGCACTTTGAAATTTAATTACTTATATTTATTTGCAAGAGTACATTACGTTTATTGCTTTTAATGCAACCATTAGCAATTTCGTATTACATACCTAGAACTTTTTATTGTTCTTGTAGTTTTGAAATTTAAAAGTATGGAATGTAGTTTAAATAACTTGATATGATTTATTCATTCTAAAACTACATAGAAGAATACAATTAATAGTATATCTTCAATATGAAAAATGTGAAAGAATTTTTTATGTTTCACAAATAAGCAAAAAGTTTCACGCGCATTCCCATAGCTGACAAACGGATAAAGTGTGGAGAGTGTTAGAATTATCATTTAGTATTGACGTAGAATTAAAAATTCTAAACAATGAGAATTTTGATGTCAATTTGCGAAAAGTTTAAAAACCGTTGTGTATTCGTAGAAATCAACGCTCCAGTGACGTCACACTTCGATTCGTATATCATAACAATAGTGCGGTAAAGCACGCTACGACGACGACATATCGCCGTTTGTTATCCATTGTCGCTTATGTGAACTCTGTCACTTTTTACCATGCTAACGGCTTCTCCAATAGAAAGTAATTAACAGTCCGTATCGCTTCACGTTAAGAAACACGAAATATATAGCGATACCAAGTAGGATATAAATAAGAATTATGCTGTTTGTAATCATCAAATACATTATTATTCGATGTGCGAACTCGTTATGTAAGTTTCCACGCATTGGAAAAACTTAACACCGCGCGGATCACATCGGGTTAAATTCACACTAATACACAATATGATAGTTTATATTGTAACACGATATTTAAAATGCATAGCCGTACAGACTATAAGCCATATACCGGCACTTCCGCAGCGTTTTTTATGAAGAGAGAGCTCTTGGTAATTTCCTTTATTTCAATCCGCTCGCGTCGAGATCCTCTTAAAATACTTACCCCCGCATCCGCTTCTTTTAATAAAGT